GAATCGAAGGTCAGATAAAGAGCTTCACTAATAAAAAAAAGCTAAGGAGTTCATCACCACCAAATCAGAATTATATGAATTGCTGAAGGGGGTTCTTTCAGAAGAGAAAGTAAATAAAGATAAAAATTATGAACAACAAATATGTAACTATCAACAAGTGAATCTAAAAACCAAGGAAATTAAAAAATCTGATGACAATATTAACTGTTGAATATAATAGAATCAGAGGTATGGAAGGGGAGTGAACTGAAGATTCTTTGGGAAAAGAGGAGAGCGGATGTGGGAAGAGACTGAACATAAACTGTGCACCTATGATGAAGACAATAGGGGGTGGGGAAAGGGCAGAGGGTGGGATGGGAACTTGGTGGAGGAGAGCAATGGAGGGGAGGGAAGGAACATTTGTAATAATATGAATGATAAAAATTTATTTAAAAAAAAAAAAAAAAAGAAAGAAACCTAGGAATAACTTAACTAAGGACGTAAAAAACCTGTACTCAGAAAACCTCAGGACATTGAAAATGGAGATAGAGGAAGACATAAACAAATGGAAGAACATAGCATGTTCAGGGATTGGTAGAATCAAAATCATTAAAATGGCCATACTACCCAAAGCAATCTACAAATTCAATGCAATCCCCATTAAATACCAACAGCAGCCAAAACCAGTTTGGCTCAGTGGATAGAGCATAAACCTGTGGACTCTAGGTTCGATTCTGGTCAAGGGCATGTACGTGGTTGTGGGCAAATCCCCAGTAGGAAGTGTGCAGGAGACAGCTGATTGATGTTTATCTCTCATCGATGTTTCTAACTCTCTCTCCCTTTCACTTCCTCTCTAAAAAAAAAAAAAAAAAAAAAAAAAAAAAAAAAAATCAATAAAATATATATATTTTTTAAATACCAATGACATATTTCAAAGAACTAGCACAAACTCTCAAATATTTATCTGGAATAAAAAAAGATCCCTACTAGCCACAACAATCCTGAGAAAGAAGAACAAAGTTGAAAGGATCGCATTACCAGATATCAAACTATATTACCAAGCCACGGTACTCAAAACTGCCTGGTACTGGCTCAAGAACAGACATATAGACCAATGGAACAGATCAGAGAACCCAAAAATCAACTCAAGTCATTATGTTCAAATAATATTTGACAAAGGAGGCAAGAGCGCACAATGGAGTCAAAACATTCTCTTTAATAAATGTGCTGAGAAATTTGGATATATACATGTAAAAAAAAAAATGAAACTAGACCACCAACTTACACCATACACAAAAACAATCTCAAAATGGCTAAAGGACTTGAATGTAAGATGAGATACCATAAAAATCCTATAAGACTCTGTAGGCAGCAAAATAGCAGACATATATCATAGCAATATCTTTACAGACACAGCTCCTAGGGCAATGGAGACTAAGGAGAAAATAAACAAATGGTACTACATCAAAATAAAAAGCTTCTGCACAGCAAAATAAACCATTTACAAAACAACAAGAAAGCCCAGTGCATGGGAGAACATATTTGCCAATGATATTTCCACTAAGGGTTTATTCTTCAAAATTTACAGAGAACTCATACAACTTAACAAGAGGAAGATAAATGATCCAATCAAAAAATGGTCAAAGGATTTAAGTAGACACTTTTTGAAAGAGGACATACAGAAGGTCCAGCAACATATGAAAACATGTTCAAAGTCACTAATTATCTGAGAGTTTCAAATCAAAGCAACAATGATATACCATTTCACACTTGGCAGAATGGCTAGCTTCAACAAATCAACAAAGGACAAGTGTTGGCGAAGATTCAGAGGAAAAGGAATCCTCCTGCACTGCTGGTGGGAAGGCAGACTGGTGCAGCTACTGTGGAGAACAGTATGGAGTTTCCTCAAAAAGTTAAAAATGAAATTCCCATTTGACCCCGAAATACCACTTCTAGGACTATATCCCAGGAAAACCAAAATACCAATCAAAAAGGATATATGGCCGAAACCAGTTTGGCTCAGTGGATAGAACGTCGGCCTGCAGACTGAAAGGTCCCAGATTCGATTCCAGTCAAGGGCATGTACCTTGGTTGCGGGCACATCCCCAATAGGGGGTGTGCAAGAGGCAGCTGATCGATGTTTCTCTCTCATCGATGTTTCTAACTATCCTCTCTCTTCCTCTCTGTAAAAAATCAATAGAAATATATATTTTTTTAAAAAAGGATATATGCATCTCTATGTTCATCGCAACACAATTTACAATAGCTAAGATTTGGAAATAGCCTAAGTGCTTCTCAGCAGATGAGTGGATTAAAAATCTGTTGTACATCTACACAATGAAAAACTATGCCTCTATTAAAAAGCAGAAACTTTTACCATTTGCAACAACATGGATGGAACTGGAAAAAATTATGCTAGCCGAAACCGGTTTGGCTCAGTGGTAGAGCGTCGGTCTGAGGACTGAAAGGTCCCGGGTTCGATTCCAGTCAAGGGCATGTACATTGGTTGCAGGCACATCCCCAGTAGGGGGTGTGCAAGAGGCAGCTGGTCGATGGTTCTCTCTCATTGACATTTCTAGCTCTCTATCCCTCTCTCCTCCTCTCTGTAAAAAAATCAATAAAATATATTAAAAAAAAAAATTATGCTAAGTGAAATAAGCCAGTCAGAGAAAGATAAATATCACGTGATCTCAATCATATGTGGTTATAATGATCAATGCAAGTTGATGAACAAGAATAGATCAATCTAGAGACAAATGGTAGGGGAGGGGTGGTTAGAGAGCAACCAAATGACTTGTGTGCATACATATTAACATAATCAATGGACACAGACACTGGGGCGGTGGGGGCTTGCCCAGAGTGGGGATGGCTTGTGGGGGGGTCAATTGGGGAAAAAGGAGATATGTAAAACATTAGACAATAAAAAAGAAAAAAAAATCTTGCTTGCTTTTCTACACTGTGTCTTGATTGAAATCATTTTTTCAAGAAGACAAAAACTGAGGTCTCTCTCCCCACTGCACCCCACAATAGCACATGATCATCACTGGAAAAGAAACACCACATGGTTCAGGCTGTGTTGAGACAGACACTACCTGAGTAGCAAGAGGTGGTTGTGCTGACTGTTGTGTTTTCAAGGATTTAAATTGCCTTTAACCACTGAAAAATCCATGGAAGGCAACACAAAGCTATAACTACCAGGTAAAATAAAGGCAATGGGAGCTGTGGGTACTCTTTTCAAAGAGCTGCTTTAGAAACGAACAAAGGGGCTCTCCTCTGAGGTCTGCACCAAGCCAGGCAAAGAAAACTTAACTGTCAGGAGCAAAGATGGGCACCTTAAAACTAAAGGGTTTCAGGAGAGATGAAGAGACTTGTCAGATTATTTGAAAGGTGTGCACGAAGCTAGAGATCAAGACTAACAGGGAGGTCTCTAGTTCTCATCTAGAATTTCAAAAGACTGTATCAGTGGTCAGCAAACTCATTAGTCAACAGAGTCAAATATCAACAGTACAACGATTGAAATTTCGAGAGCCAATTTTTTTTAAACTTAAACTACATAGGTAGTATATTGTTATTAACTTAATTAGGGTACATCATATTTTGTGGAAGAGCCACTCAAGAGGCCAAAGAGCCTCATGTGGCTCGCGAGCCACAGTTTGCCAACTACTGGTTTATATTAAGATTGTTGAATCTATGTATTATTTCCTACTTGAGGAAAATGAACAAAGGCAGGATTTTAAAAGGACCCTCCCTCCCACCCCACTTCCATCCCATCCCATTTTTGCTCTAAAAGTTTTTCAGACATTTTTCAAGCACACACAGAATCACTATCACTATCTTTATCCCATTGGTTAGAAAGAAGACTTAGCTTAAATCATTTGGATGGTTACCTTCCAAGACAAGAAAGTAATATTAAAGCAAGTATCTATAATAATCTATAATAATAAAAGCGTAATTTGCTAATTAGACCAGATGTCCTTCCGGGCATCCTTCCAACCTTCCGGACGAAGCTGGGGCTTCAAGGGAAGCCCAGGTCCCGGGTGCCTGCCGGCAGCCTGAGGAAAGCCTGGGTCCCCGGCCAGCGGGAAGCCAGTGCTGGCAGCCAGGGGAAGGAAGTCTTACTTTTGCACGAATTCCGTGCATCGGGCCTCTAGTTTCTACATAACACACTTCCGACATCCCAGGCTAAGAAAACTGAAAATGTAATAGAAATAACATCTTATGTCCTATTTTTTTTTAATTTAAAAGTCTTATCTACCTAAAGTCCATATGAACTGGTTACTATATGGATGTTTAAGTCTATAGATTTCCTAAACACCACATGTCATCAAAATAAAGAGGAAACAGCATGTATAGCACATACCTGGTATAGTCTACCTGCACTGAGGCTTTGAATTTAGGAGAGAACTGGGGAAAAGAAATATGGTCAAACCTCATTTGAGTCTCCCATCTAGAATAATTTGGTTCTCAACCAAGTTGTTCACAGAAAAAAAATGTTTAGGTTGTGGAACTAAACTTAGTTTTTTGACCTTGCATGCTGATACCTCAACAGAACAAAGGAGAGAATGCTCTGTTTGCTAGTGAAATCAACCATTAACACAATTTGAAAATATAAACAGTCCATCAAGAATGCTAATGTTGATAAGGATATGAAAGAAACAATGTTCACAGGCAACTGAAGAGGTAGAAACTTGTTGATTTGGATAAAGGAAAAGCTGTTTTATCCAGTTACAGCCATTTCAGAGGCAGTGATATATGAACAAGCAAAGATGCTGTATTAGACATGCATTGTTCATAAAAAAAAGGTTAAAATGGGGAATCATTTGGGGGTCTGGGATAGATTGATTCAATTTACATTATTTCTAATGGGAAAAAATGATTCTGTTTTCAAAGAAATTACTTCTGAAACAGCCTTCAAGAACAAATACAGAGGTTCCACTGTATATACTGGTACTTGAACATTATCTCAAACATCTTCATTTCTATAAGACCATAATTAAAACAATGTAAGAAAAACTTAATACCTTCTTTGCCAAAATAACAAGTGGTTTATTTCCTGCTAAGTCAGAGAACCAACTATGAATTGCACTCTTCGATTGAGAGGTAACCAGCCAATAATTATCTTTAACATTAACTTGTGGTTTCTTCTTTCCGGTGTCCTGGAAAGTGTTCAGCTTTAATTTCTCAGCTAATATGCTGCTAAAATAAGCTCCAATCTGAGGAAACAAGAGAAAAAAAATTAAGAAAATAACTATGTTAGTAATGTATATTAGTATTTTATCTTTATCCTCAAACAGCCCATCAGACAATGAAGTGGCAATTTAAGTCCTTGAAGTCAAGAGTTGTGATTGCCTTGATTAACATAATGCAGAAACTCCCACAGCACCTTTGTTCTTATGAACAAGGAAAAGAGAAGAGCTTTGAAATCCTGTTAAGATTAAATGAATTGTATCCTGAATAAATGTCAAGGGAATGGGTTCTGCTTTAATCTTCAGCTGTACTTTCCCTTTTCACATTGCACACCCATTGAAGAGCGTATTTTTCCTGAGAGGTGTTGCATAGAAAGCCCAATAGTCAATCACACCATAATTATTCTTTTTCTTGTTTCACCTTAATAGGATGTATTTTGGAAAACAAACTCTGCATTTACACTTAGTGCTTTTAAAAAAAAGATTCTAGAGAAATTTAATTTATTTAAATGGAAAATAACAAGAGTCAATTAAATTAACTATTCAACACTTTTGATTGGGCTGCCAATTTCATGAGCACAAGTGTTTCAAGAGAACGCTACTGTCACCTGATCTGAAAGGAGCAAAGCAACAAAGGAAGCTCCTGTGATTACTGCAGCATTTTCATATCACCCAAATTAAGAGGACAAAAGAAGGAAAAAGACAAGGAAGGAGATAAAATATCTAAAAATTCAACAAATTGCCCTAGCCAGCTTGGCTCAATGGATAGGGCATCGGCCTGTGGACTGAAAGGTCCTGGGATTGATTCCAATCAAGAGCACATGTCTGTCTGGGTTTCGGGCTTAATCTCCAGTAGGAAGCTTGAGGGAGGCAGTTAGTCAATGATTCTCTCTCATCATTGATATTTCTATCTCTCTCTCCTTCTACCTTCCTCTCTGAACTCAATAAAAAATATTTTTAAAATAATAAATAAATAAATATAAATAAAAATTTAACAAATCCACAAAAAAATTGTTGGAATTTCCAAGAATCCTATCAAAGTATCACATTTCATTCCCTTGAAATTCTTTAATAACTTGATGCAAGTTTATTAGTAATAGTTGCTAATAAATACACCCAGTAAGGTTAGCAGATAGTGGCAACCATGATTAAAATAAAATAGCTACTCTGGTGAAGCAAAATGAGAATCATTATCTTAGTTAATGCTCATAAGTCAATCAGTCTATAGCAGTGGTTGGCAAACTCATTAGTCAATAGAACCAAATATCTACAGTATGACAATTGAAATTTCTAAAACACTAAGAGCCAAATTTTTTAAAGTTCTTCTAACTCCATTTCTTCAAAATAGACTCGTTCAGGCCATGGTATTTTGTGGAAGAGCCACACTCAAGGAGCCAAAGAGCCACATGTGGTTCACAAGCCACAGTTTGCCGACCATTGGTCTATAGTTTGAAACAGGTGTAAGCAATTAGCCAAATTTATCTACCAGGGTGAAAAGCTGGTACTACACAATTTTTTTTTTTTAATGTGAATTGTAAATCTTCTATCCTTGTGACTAATGTACAATAAAAAGAAGACTGGTTTTGGTTTGTTGGTGTAAATGGTAATAAAAATTAGAGTAATTAGGAAAAAGAAGCCTAAGCTTTACTTTTTTTTAAAAAATCAACCCCACAGTGTTTTTTTAAACAAATATTTGCATAATGCCCAAACAGAAAATTAAACAAATGCAAAAATTTGGCAAAATCCAGTTGTCTGAAAACAAGCAGTTAATAATAACAAATTTTCTATCTTAATTTTTTTTAAGTGTGGTTTTATTGATTTTAGAGAGAGAGGGGGGCATCCATGTGAGAAACATTGATTAGCTGCCTCCTGCAGGCACGCTGAGTGGGGATCGTCCACAACCTGGGCATGCGCTATGATGGAGAATTGTACCTACAACCTTTCAATGCATAGGATGATACTCACCAACTGAGCCACAATGGCCAGGACCACAAATTGTTTAATTTAAAATGTTTCAATGTTTGGTCTTTGAACCATGGGCACAAAACACCTACTTACGCAGACTGTTTTACATTTAAAAGGTCTCTTATTTGCAATTATGTATGAAAGTTTTAATCATCATATATTATGTTTTAAAAATCTAGTCTGAAAAAAACTGCTTTACAATTATACTCTCTTCTATGTACTTGATAGCAATGGGATATGGTGACTGTATGTATGTTATACTACCTAACACATCTGATGAACAACCACATACTATAAACAAAGTCAAAATTTCAAAAATGCAAGGTAGAATAAAAGGAACATTGCAACTTAAAGAAAATTAAAACATGATCACATATTTTATTTTATTGTAACAGCAATATACTCATTATTCCCAAATCAAGAAATATAAAGAGCCTCATTCCCAAGTCCCAATGCCTACCTTCAAGTAACCAACTGTGATTATTTTCTTATGTGTTTCCAGTGTTTCTTCATGTGAATACACACATGCTTATAGGCACATCTCCTTCTGTATACACAGTAAATACCTGAGAGCCTTCCATGTCTGTATATGGAAAACTTCCTCATTCATGTTTACAAACACTAAGAATGTACTCTGTAGATGTACCACATTCTATTTAATCAAGCACCTGTTAATTAATAGACATTTGGAGTGTTTGTTCCAAACTTTAGCTATTACGAATCACCTTAAAATGAACAGCCTTCCCTACTTATTACTTCATACATGTACAGGTATAGCTTTCAGATAGATTCCAGAATCCAGATTTTATGTTTCTTTAATTTTAATCAGTATTGCTAAATTGATCTCCATAAGATTTATAACAATTTGTACTCTCTCAAACAAGGTATGAGATAAGGTTTAATTTAAAACATGTTTCCATCACCCAAAGATATTTTGTAAATAATTTACTCAAAAAGAAAATGGGGAAAGTTTAGAGGCTACACACTATAGTTCATATATTTCATATTTATGAGATAAATTCCCCTCAGAATGTTTGATTTCTAGAATAAATTTCACGGGAAGGGTGATAGCAGCAGAAGTTGTGATGGGTGATATTTTTATTTGCTGTTAATTAAACTGACATAGAACCTGATAAAACTGAGAACTATTTGGCAGTTCAAATAAGAGATACAAACCGTTCATATTCTTTGTTATGAACTCAATTGTGTATTCCCAAAACTCATGCTGAAGCCTTTGGAGTCTTTGGAGACAGGTCCTTTGAAGAGGTAAGAAGGTTCAATAAGGTCGTAAGGGTGGCGGCCTGGTCCTAGAGGACTGGTGCATAAGGGGAAGAAGCACCAGAGATGCATGCACAGTGATAGGACTAGGTGAAGACACAGCAAGGCGGCAGCATGTGCACATCAGTGGTAGAGCGTAGGTCTGCGGACTGAAGGGTCCCGAGTTCGATTCTGATCAAGGGTATGTGCCTTGGTTGTGGGCACAACCCTGGAAGGGGGCGTGCGGGAGGCAGCTGGTCGATGTTTCTCTCTCATCGATGTTTCTAGCTCTCTATCTCTCTCCCTCCCTCTCTGTAAAATATCAATAAAATATATTAAGAGAGAGAGAGAGAGAGAGAGAGAGAGAGAGAGAGAGACCGACCTCAGGAGAAATCACACCTGATGACACCTTGATCTTGGACTTCCAGCCTCTAGAACTGTGAGAAAACAAATGATCTCAGAAAATCAAATTTCTCTGGTTTAAGCCACCCAATCTGTGGTATTTCATTATGGCAGCTCCGGAAGATTAATGTACCCTTTGAGGGAGCAATATTCTAGAAATTCATACTAAAGAACAAAAGCTACATGTCCAACTGTGACTACAGCTTCTATTAATAACCATAAGAAACTATTACATAACAGCTAGTTGTTACATATTAGCACCTTCAGTCCATTATCGCACATAAATGATAAAATGTTATCTATCCATTAATGATTATTAACCAGTGTAGATTGACCACCACTTTGTGACAAAATTCGTGCACGAGGCGGGGAGGGTGTCCCTCAGCCCGGCCTGCACCCTCTCCAATCTGGGACCCCTCAAAGAATGTCCTACTGCTGGCTCCTATACACCTGCCTGCCTGATGGCCCTTAATCACTCGGCCTGCCAGCCTGCTCACCCCCAACTACACTCCAGCCTGACCACCTCAACTGCCCCCTCTGCCAGCTGTTCGCCCCCAACTGACTCCCCTGCTGGCCTGCTTGCCTCCACCTGCCCTCCTGGAAGGTCTCTCCTGGTAGGCTCACCCCCAACGGCAGCCGTCAGCCTGCTCATCCCAAACTGCCCTTCCCCCCCGCACCCCTGCCAGCCTGATCGCCCCCAAATGACCACCACTGATGCCCTGCTTGCCCCCAACTGCCTCCCCCCTGCCTGCACCCACAACTGCCCTCCCCTCTTGGCCCCTAACCACCTCTACCTCGCCACTGCTCCCCCCACACACACCATGGTTTTGTCCAGAAGGACATCTGGAAGGAAGATCTCCTGGAAGGTCTCTCAGTCTAATTAGCATATTATCCATTTATTAGTATAGAGGCCTGGTTTGCCCCTGAAGGGTGTTCTGGATCAGGGTGGGGGTTCCCTTGAGGGGTGGGGAGACCTGGGCAAGGGGCTGGAGCAGTTTGCAGGCTAGCCGTGCACCCATAGGGTGAGGGTTGCTGTTGGAGCACTGGGGGAGGGGGGAGGAGGGAGGAGAGGGGGAGACGTGGCCAGCCTGGGTGTCCCTGATGGTGTGCCTGGCCAGCCTGGGTGAGAAATTTTTGGCTGTTTGCAGGCTGGCCATGCCCCCCCAGTGGGGATCCTCACCCCATGGGGGCGTGGCCAGCATGGGTAAGAGACTGAGGACAGTTTTCAGGCTCACCACACCACCTTCACTGTGGCGGTCCCCAATGGGATGCCTGGCCAGCCCAATTGAGGGGCTGATGGTTGTTTGCAGGTTGGCCACGCCCCCAGTGGGGACCCTCACCCTGATGGTGGTGTGGCCAGACTAGGTGAGGGGCTAAGGGCCATTTGCAGGTGACCCAACCCTCCTGCGTGCTCAGGCTGGCTCCGTGGCCACTGCCCACAGGCCCTCCTTCAGCAGTTTGCCCAGGAGGGTTGTCTTCCTCCATCGCCAGGGACAACCAAACCCTCCCACGCTGACTGGCTCCATGGCCATCACCATCTTTGTCCTGCTAATTTGCATACTCACTCCTAATTGGCTGATGGTGTCACAAAGTGATGGCCAATTTATGTATTTCTCTTTTATTAGTGTACATACAAATATTTCAGCCTCAAGGAAAAGTACATTCAAAAATATTTCAATTTTTAACAGCAAATATTATGGGAGATGAAAAATTTTAGAGATGGAAGTGCTGATAGTTGCACAACATGGTGAATGTACTTAATGCCAAAGAACTGTACACTTTAAAATGCTGAAGTGGGCCGAGACCGGTTTGGCTCAGTGGATAGAGCGTCAGCCTGCGGACTAAAAGGTCCCGGGTTCGATTCCGGTCAAGGGCATGTACCTTGGTTGCGGGCACATCCCCAGTGGGGAGTGTGCAAGAGGCAGCTGGTTGATGATTCTCTCTCATCGATGTTTCTAACTCTCTATCCCTCTCTCTTCCTCTCTGTGAAAAATCAATAAAATATATTTAAAAAAAATAAAAATAAAAAAATAAAAAAAAATAAAAAAAAATAAAATGCTGAAGTGGTAAATTTTATGTCATGTATATTTTACCATAATAAAAAAAAAAAACAAAAATTACAACAGATAGTATTGTGATTTCAGTGTTAAAAGGTGTCAAGGTTGGAAAAAGACAAAACTAAAAACATTTTCAGTCTATAGGATTATCTGTAGAAATGCTTCTGTTTTCTTTCACATCATTTAAATAATATTTCAGTTGATAGCAAATTATCAATTACATATGTGTTTGTCATGTGGGCACATAAAAACAGATCCTTTAACAATGGATATCTCTGAGAAAGAGGGGAAAAGGATAGATATTTGTCTACACATTTTTATGTAAAATGGTTTCAATTTAATAAAAATATTTTAGTATTTGAAAAATAAAAATAACTCAAAAATTTCTTAATAATCAGTCCAACTGGTGAGACTCAGTGAGCATCAACCTGTGAACCAGGAGGTCATGGTTCGAATCCTGGTTAGGACACATGCCCAGGTCAATCCCCAATATGGGGGGTGCAGGAGGCAGCCAATCAATGATTCTCTTTCATCATTGATGTTTCTATCTCTCTCTCTCTCTTCCTTCCTCTGAAATCAATAAAAGTATTTTTAAAAAGACTTAAAAGAATTCTATCTTTATATCTAATCCTATCTAATAGAGGGAATATGCTAATTGATTCTCACACCATTGCAAAGATGGCAGCGCCAGAGCCAATAAGAAGGGATATGCTAATTGACTGCCTCACCCTCAAAATGGTGGCACCCACAGCCACAGGATGGCAGCGCCCAGTCCCCTCAGCCCTCCTGGGGCAGCAGGCGTATGGCAAAGCCTTCAGAGTCCTCCAGTCCTCCCAGTCCCCTAGCAGCGCAAGACTGGCCCGAGGCGCAGGCAAGCCTTGGATGGTGGCTGCCCAGCCACTCAGGGCTGCCCAAGGCTTAAGTAACCAGGGCCAGCTGAAGCTTGCACTGCCAGCAGTGGCAGCAACAGAGGAGTGATGGGGTGTTGCCTTCCCCTCATCACCAGGTTGCCTTCTACCCCTGAGGGCTCCCAGACTAAGAGAGGGGGCAGGCTGGGCTGAGGGACCTCCTCCCCACCCTCCTTCAGTGCATGAATTTTCATGCACTGGACCTCTAGTTATTACATAACCACACACACACAAAATTAAATTCAAGAAAATTTTAACACAACATTGTGATTATATATTTTTATTTTTCAGATATTTATTATTTCTTCAAATTTGCTGTTTATCAGGTGTGACGGAAATAAAAAATTTAATTGAGTCCCATTATCATAATGGAAATGAATTTAAGAGAAAACCAGTCAGATAAATATTATTGCTTCCCACTTGGAACCAGTAAATAATTGCCACTGATAGCCCACAGTCCACCAAGAATGCTCAAGATATACTACATAGCCAAAACCGGTTTGGCTTAATAGCTAGAGCGAGGGTCTGCGGACTGAAAGGTCCCAAGTTCGATTCTGGTAATGTACATTGGTTGGGGCACATCCCCAGTGGTAATTGTGCAGGAGACAGCTGGTCGATGATTCTCTCTCATTGATGTTTCTAGCTCTCTATACCTCTCCCTTCCTCTCTGTAAGAAGTCAATAAAATATATATATTTTTTAAAAAGATATGCTACATAATACAGCAGGCCTGCTCATGAGGGTGGGGGGCTAGGAAATAATGCACAGTATAGGAACTTCTGAATTTCACTGCACAAGACAAATAAAGGCATCACCCATGCCTCTGAGAACACTAGACCATGCATCCCTGTAAAAGCTTTGCCTTCTTAGTCAGGAGCAATCTTCCTCCAGCAGCTCAGCACCCGTGAACTTGACATCAGTTCTCCCCTCTGACTGCATCATCAGACTGCGAGGAACCTTGTGAAATGGAGATGAAGTCACCCCTGCCATCACCAGGACTGTGCAGTGACCAGCTGAGGAAGATGTGGGGGTTCTGGAGATATAGAGCACTCCCTTCTCAGTGCCACAGGTGCTGAAGCAGGCAGCTTGCTGGGTGATAATAGCGTATAGTCATGCTGAAGCTCTGTACAACCCTTAATCTCACTGGACTTGGAGATCTGAACCAGGCAGTCACCAGAACCTCTAACTTCCCTCTCACTCCAACTTTGCCCACATCAGTTGTTAGACCAGTATGGGCAAAACCAAGGTACACAAAACACAAGGGGGCGTGGCCCAGTGGCACCACCTGATGCCCGATTCCCTGCAAGTAGCTCCAGAATTGGATTCTCGTGTCCACAGCACCCAGGACAATGTGCTTGTATTTAACTTCGGAGGCAAAGTTGAGAGCCCGAGTGGAGAAGGATCTGGTTACCAGCCAGAAAGACAGGGCTCCCTGTTCCTTGGGGTTGGGACCCAGAAAGCCTACAATGACCTGGCATTTGCTTATCTGCTGCGACTTGCTGACAGGGTGCAGCTGCACTTGCAGCTCCACCTGCTTCATGAGTGATACCACCGGCTGGGAGATGGCCACAGCCGCTCCGTCCACTGTGAAGAACACAGTAGTGTCTCTAATTCTGAAAGGCAGGAAGAAGTGGGAGACTGTAGGACTGGGCTCCTGGGCTCATAACCAGCTGGGAATCTGGGGATCTAGTTGACTCTATACTCTTAATGAAAATTAGTATGAAAACAGAAGTATTGTAGAAAAATTAAAATTTTTACATAATAATTTTGTTATTGAAGACTTTGGTATAGTTTATTTTGAAACTTTTTTAGGAAGGGAGGAATGAAAGGGGGTTGGGGAATAAATCAAACCATGTTTCCCATCTTTTTACACTGAAAGGGCCTAGAAGTCATGATACTCCAGTAGCAAGACCATGCCAAGCATCCAGATATGAGCTGAGGCAGGAAAAGGACATGAACCTAAGTTACTGAGTCAAAGTAAGGAAGTGCTCAGAGGAAAGGACCCCAGAGACAGGTTGAAGGCATCCCACTGGCCAAATGTAAGACAATTTAGCATCAAAAAGAAAAAATGAAAATAATACATCAGATTTAAAGAAAATCCAGGGGTTAAAAATGATACTAATAAATGTGGTGTCCTTTACAAATTGATGCCAAATAATAAATGTATGGGGAATAATAACTAGAAAACCAGCATTTTGCATCCACCAGCAAAAGAATCACTCAGCAAAAATTATCAATTGATCTAAAATCATAGGATGAATTCTATATGGGGAATAGGATATTCATATGGTCTCAAAGTATCACCGTTTAGTGTCTACTACAGGAAAAAGATGACTAGTTACAATGTCCTGCAAGCAGGTCAAACTCATAGCCCATGGGCTGCATGTGGCCCACATAGAGTATTTTTTCAGTCCAGCCAATACAATGGTGTGTAAGAAACGTTTTAATAAAAATTTCATAACTTAATTTTTACAATAACCTGTTATACATAATTATTAATAACAAACTACAACTTTTGCTAATGACTGATTAGTATAATCATGTTGCATTCATTTCCCTTACGCACCTTACACGAAAGTGTTCCATTTCTCTCCACTAATACTAACAACAAATATTTTAGCAGCCAACTGCCACATCATTGATTTGTTTGGTGTGCACAACAGGAAATATTTCACTTTCAGAGAACAAGAAAAATAGGTCAATTTGCGTTATGCCTATTAATTTGAATACTAATTTTTTTAAATGTTCTATTATTATACTTTATGTTAACGATTACTCATTTATTTCAAGTCTTTCTATTCAGCATGTCTCTATCATAATAAACCTACATTTCTATGAAAATTGAGGGCTTTTGTTTTCTTGTGGCCCACATAAACTTAAACCTTATTTGGCCCATGTTAGCCTTTGAGTTTGACATGCTTGGTGTACAGAGATGCAGACTCCACCCTCAGTGATCAGACAGTGTAGCCAATAACTGAGAAAACCGGCCCTGCATGCTCCTGATGTGGTGCACGTGATGCAACGTAGTCTTCCTGCCCAAAGTGTTCGACCTGAATTCCATCGTGAGAAAACAAGGAAAACCTAAAGGCCTAAAATGCAAGACAAGTAATGGGACTATTTTAAAATAGCATTCCTGAAAAGTCCCCCAAAAAAACAACAAGACAAGCAAAGCTGGAGAGTGGCGCTGTAGATTAGAACAGACTAAGGGGACAGGACAGGATGACTTGACTGGATCCTAGGACAGGACAGCTTATAGAATATTTCTGGAGGAATCTGAATATGGACTGTGGTTTAAACAACGGTAATTTATCAACATTAACTACCCAGGGAATCACATACACATCCTTTTCCAGAAGTTCTGGGACACAGATAATTAGCATACCTTCGATGGATTAATTACAATATTTCTGGCTGAGCCATGTTCGTCTCCCGTAAAGGCCGGCTGATTGCTGAAGCCTTGCTTTACGTTCACAGCAGTGAGTTCATCCTGTTCAAGAAAAGTATTGATTAATGAGACGGATGTAAAAGCTCCAACTTAACCCCTCCTAATACAGCCTAGTGACTAAGTTTGCTGTACTCTGAAGAGAAGTATTGAATGCACACCAAAAGAAGCAAAAATTAAAGTTTAAAAACTAATGTATAAAAGTATAGAAAGAGATAAAGTGAATGTGGCAAATGTTGACAACTGTAGACTCTGGCTGTATGGTATATGGATGTTCCTTATATTATTCTTTTAATTTTTCTGTAACTTTGAACATTTTTAACTAATTAAGTAATGAGCAAAAATTCCCCCCACACAAACACATAAGTCATAGGATTTTCAAATGAGAATTGTTTCTAGAGAACATAGTTTGACTCTTCCTTCCTTGCCAGCCCCTAGGCTCACCCCTATTTTATATTCAAGAAAACCGACTCATTCAACTTAACCAAAACCCCAAAGCCAGCTAAAGACAGACATGAAAGGTTCCTCGGCACAGCTCTGTGATAACCACACAACACAATGACCTGCCAAGTAAAGGATCGTTTGGAGCTTGCAAAGTTCTCTCATACATCTTGGCTCACTTGATCTTACCAATTCTGTGGCAGGCAACAGGTGTGGGTCTTCATGCCCATTTATAGGTGAGAAGAGTGAGGTTCACTAAGCTAGTGCCAACACTAGAATACTGCCATCCAATCCTAGATTAGGAATATAGCTTTCCCTGACACCATGCCATGAAGTATAAATGCCACATAAAAATGTGGTCTAAAAATACAAGGAAGGAAGAGTCAAACTATTATATGTTCTCTAGAAACAATTCTCATTTGAAAATCCTATGATTTATGTGTTTGTGTGTGGGGAACTTTTGCTCATTACCACTTGTACTCTTCCTGGTAGACTCAGGAACTTTTTCTTCCCAAGGTCACACACATCAAAACTATCCCAGGCTGCAAAAACGAAAACCTTGCCCTGAGTTCCTAAAATACACACTTGAAAGTATAAAAAGGAAAGGTTTTAGTAAATGAAGCTACTTTCTGCTCTCCTCACTCCAAGCCAAGAAATGGTCTTAGTAACCAACAGGTAAAGCTGTCGACAGCACAAGAATGAGAATATACACTTATTCCTCATAGCAATTGCTGCAAGTGTAAAGGGGGGTGGGGGGAGGACAGGGAGAATCAGTTGACCAAAATCACCGCTGTGGTTAGGCAGGAAGCCTCAGACAAAATAGTTCATAACTATTGCTAGCACGTGAACTGAGATGAAAACTGAAGTGTCCCGGAGACCTGCCGTGCCATGTTACCTAACTGGGTGTGCTCTACCTACTACCTCAGAGTTTTCAAAAGATCCCACTACAGGAAATGCAGCTCTGTGACAACCAAGTGTCCTCTAAGCATGAGGTGACTGGAGTAACAATCTGCACAGAAAATGACTAAACACACATCAGAAGACACCTCAAACTGGCTACACATTTTCAAGTCAATTATTTGAAAATCTAGGACCAAACTACATGACAATTTCAGTAGTCTCAGGGTTTAAGAATGAAGGAGCACAAATGAGATCATGAGAGAAAAGAGGTGGGAAAATTGAATCTCGTTCTGTCTTTTACGTCACATTATTACAAGAAACCTTGAGTAACAGCATATGTTTTTAATAAAAATGTTTGGGTTTAACCAAGAGATGTGTGAGGCTTAAGGACCAGTTAGTTTCATTTAGTATTGCTTAATTTTCTATTCTAAACTAGCACCAGCTCATTTAGCTGCTTGTTGTATGTGACCGCTAAACACTGGTCTGGAGAGACATGCCCTGTAGGCATGCACACATATGCACATGTGTACATATGTGCATGCACACACAGATCCCCAAAAGGAAAAGCATGGAAACATGATTAGATATCTCTCAACTACATCAAATTTTCCTCAAACGAGAATTCACATGGGTGCTACTAAAAGCCTTGAGTCCTGAGAACTTTTTAACTTGGTATTCTAAACTTCACCAGAATGATCCAGAATCTGCCCACTAGTCACTACCACCTCAGGCCAGGACCACCACCAGCATCTCAGGCTTGGACATTGCAGTAGCGCCTAATCTTGGATCTATTTGATCTCCCCACTGCTTCCACCCTTGCCCCCCGCAGACCATTTTCAACACAGCAGCCACATGGTTCTTAAAACAGGAGATCATGTCACTCCTGCTCAAAACCCACCTTAGCTCCCCATCTCAGAGTATAAACTAAAGTCCTATGATCACCTACAAGCCCCTATGTGATCTGGCCCCTATTACCTTCCTGAGTTCATTCCTATATACTCCCCCTTTGCTCACTCTACTCTAGCCATGTGGTTCTCATTGCAGTCCCTGCCTCCAACATGCCAGCTGAATGGGCCACTGCACTGTCTGTTCCTGTGCCTGGACTGCTCTTTCTCATGAGATCCACATGGCAACTCCATCACCAACTTAAGCCTTTGCTCAAATTTCACACTTTCATTGAGCAATTCTGACAACCCTGTTTAAAACTAGAACTGCTCACCCTACCCCCTTCATATCAACACCTCTAATCTTCCAAAAATCCATAGCACTCATCACCTAAAATACCATGTAATTGACTTACAACAGATATTTTCTGTTTTGCCTACCAGGAGGTAAGCCCCATGAGGCCAGAGATCTTTATTTTGTTCACACATAAAGCTGTGCCTGGCACAAACAAGCTTTCAAACCATCGCTGAAAGAATAGATAAGTGAATGATAATCTGTTTGAATAATTGACATAGTAAGTGTATTCTGAATCATTACCACATCCATGACTTTGGGTCTGTAATTTTCCAATTAATTTTAACAAGGAGGTCATTAGAGTGAGGTGGCTCTAATGTCCTGGTACCTACATAGGAAACCAATCCAAGCCTCTAAATGCCTCAAGGTTACAAAAGCAGAACTAAAGTTTAAACTATATACAATTAATCATTTTTTTTTACTTTGCTTCTACCTTTTCTCTATAAAGGTTTATCCCCAGCTCCAGACAATGGAGCACTTCTAATCACTTCTGGTTTGATGCTACCTGATTTAAATTTAGTTTTGCTCAAAGAAATTCCTGAAGTTGTAATATGCCTCACTTTATCTTTCAACTGTTCTGATGTCAGATATGGGACCCAAAGGAGAACTTCAACAGTCCCCAGGAACAAGAAGCAGCCAGGTAAGGTTGCCCACTGAGCAGGTCTAGCTCACTGCTTTCTCTGTGCATCTGGAGTGTGCAGGTATCTGTGATCTACAACTTCTGCATTTAAAAGCGCTCCCAAATTTATCTGAACATTTCTTTCATCAGACTTGGTCTGAGGCTAACCAATTTAACAGAAACTAGACTGGGTTCAAGTTAGAACCCAGATTTGTTCTGAGGTTGGACTGGATCCAACTTAAGATGGACTGGGTCCAGTTTAAGGCCTCAACTATCAATAATGACAAAAGAGAAAAATTTTCCCTCTGGCTCCACATAATCTGGAACTCCTCCATCTGGGATGCCAGTAACTACATATATAAAAACTATGGTCCCAGACACTGTATTTTCTGAATTAGTGGGTTAACTTTACCAAAGATAATCTGGAATTATCTTGGCCAAGTAGGGAACTTTTAATCTAGAAAGGCTTATCCATTTATAAGATGCTCTAGGGGAAAAAAAGGGTCAAATTCCCCCCACCCCCACAAAAAAAAAGGATGCATTTTTATTGGTATGCAGAAGCTATAAGAAATTAAATGAATCAAAATTGTCCTGGATTCCAAAATAGCAGCAGAGTACTAGTAAGTGAAAATTACACTTACACTCTCCCAGGACCAAAGTGGAAATGTAACTAAAACAGAGAAATACCACCCTGAAATATCAACTGAAGACTAGCTGGAGAGAACTCTGATAACCAAAGACAGAAAATGGAGACCACATAACCTCTAGTAAAAAGTAAAAAGGTGCAAAAAAGCTGCCAGGCTCCCATAGATAGGAGCTGAAGTTCCAAAGGGATATCTCAGCTATTCAACTGTGGAGGATTCCCACTGAGAACTCTGGGGTCTAAACCGCAAGCTGAGTTCCCAGCTCAGAGCACAAGAACTGAAAAAGAGGCCCTTATAACATCTAACTATGAAAAACAAAAGGGTTGCTATCTGCTAGGGAGGGAAGGCTGGAAATGCAGGCATCCTTTTAAAGGGCCAACTATTCGTGTTCAACTACTCACCTTGGGCTCTGGCAGAAGGAGGGCAGAATGAACTGGAGCTATGTTAGCACAAGCCAGGATTAGAGGCTCTAGGGTTGGAGTTTAAAAGGCAGACACCCAGTTTCTAGTGCTAAATCATTCCCTCACGTTATGCAGGAAATCTTTCTCCATGAACCTTTGCTATGCAGGCAGTTTATGCCTGAAAGGAAGTCAACTGGCCCACCCTATTGGAAGACCTCATAGTCCATAGCCTGATTCTAATCAAGACTGAATCTCAATAGGATTACAGGCAGAGTGGGATCTTTGGAAGTTTTAAGTTTTTGCCTAATCTAATACAGGACCAGGGGCTAGGAAAAGCAGATCCTGGTGGACATCTTGGTCCTTTCCAAAGGCAAAAAGAACCAGTAGAGGGAGGCACAAGCTATGGATTTCTGGTAGCTCCAAATAGGGTATTCAGGGCCAGTCACAAACAGGGTCTGACACTGTCCTGCACTAGAGATTGGGAAGCATAGCAGATCCACCTAATACACAGACACAAATCCAAACAGGCATCCAAAATGGGTAGATAAAAAAAAAAAAAAGTCCCAGATGAAAGAATAAGAGATTTTTCCAGAAGAGCAAAATGAAATGGAGAAATGGAGATAAGTAATTTCCTATGAACCAGGCTGTCATGGTTCACTTCCTGATGAGGACACATACTTGGGTGGGTGGGTATGCAGGAGGCAGCCTACCAATAATTCACTCTCATTATTGATGTTTCTATCTGTTTCTCCCTATCCCTTCCTTTCTGAAATCAATAAAAATTTATGTTTTAAAAAATCA